TGATTGCGCTTCACGTGGTGAAGTGTTGTCCATCGGACAGCACTTCCCTGCCAGTATATAATTATTTATTGCATTTCTTCACATAAGTAGGTTACAAATCTATGAGTAACGTGCTAACTATATACAGGAATATTCATTTTTCTAATTAACTGTCCTTACAACACACCATATTGTAGAGATGCAGATCGGTGTACATGATTTTTGGGAGGTGGGTGGGTTTTTTTAAATTTCCACTTCTTTGCCAAGGTTTGGTCCCTTAAATTTTAGCCAAAAATTTTGCCAGAGATGTTAACGCACTGGCTAAAGTCTTGCGAATGAGCAGTACATGTCGACATTGCGATCAAACGTCCTTGCGCAAAGAGGGGGCCATTGTACGTATGCACGTGAAGGAAAAAACCTTCAGGATAATTTCTGATTGGTTAATCCCAAGTTTGCATCAGTTGTTCACATGCTTAGCAGCCAAAGTTCGATATTTATCAGATATTTTGTAATATTAACAGGGCTAGAAAACGGTTCCCTTGTTCTGCCAGGGTACTTGGACCTTGTACGTACCTGGTACGGATTAATTGTTGTGACGCAGATGCGTTGGCAGACTGAAAACACCCTCGGGCAGATAGAGCCTTCAGAACATATTACTCCATTAACCGCAATTTATAGCTTTGCTTAAATTGATTATTTAAAGTTGGCAGAATGGGTACTTGTTAATTAGCATTAATTTGCTCATTTCCACATTAAAAACTCGAAATAGGATTCGAAAAACATAGGCTCACTTAAATGTCTTATCATAGTAATTTAATAGGAAAATTTTAAAATTCTCAAATTTTCGGCTGTAGAAAGCAAAATCAGAAGTGGTAACACATATAGTCTTGTTCACCAAGGCTTGAACTACAAGAAAATGTCTGTTACCAGCTCCTAACATAAAGTTGCCATCAAACTGTACAAAATGATGGACAAATTTCGGGGATTGTGACATAGTGAGTGAGGTAAAAAATTTGTTGAGAAAAAGTTTACTTCTTATTTCTACGCAGACAATGTTTTTGCTAATCAATCGGACAGGTTGCGGGATTTATGCATGCTTTAGCTTTCCCCATGCACGCTTCATGCACGCAAACAAATTTGCCCAGTGGAAAACCGGCTTTACGTGGTACAGCGACACATTCTCTTGGGTTATTCTAAAACAAGTATACCGATAGGAGAGACACATGGAAATTAGAATGATTAATAGTCTGTGTTATTATCGGTTTGGTACTAAAAATAATACAAAATGGTTTTTCCGATTTAAAACACAATATCTTTGTACTGGATGGTCAGATTTGAATTTATTTACCGGTATGTATAATAAAACATGTTGTGGGAAGACATGTTCCATACCTCCAAAACAAGACAACATTACTCAGATTGTTTAGAAAAAAACTGTCATACACGAATTGTGCATATATTAATCTCAAGTTTATAGTAAGTTGTTATTGATATTCATTTAGAAAACGAAATTGATAGAAACACTTACCCGCAAATCCTTGGACGGGATACTTGTCCAGCTTGGTGCACCAAGTGTCGACCTCTTCCTCCCGTAGTAGGTGTGGTGTGATCGAACACGTCAATATACGATCTAGGAAGCCGTCTTTTGTTTTGGCCAGAGGTTTAAATAATTGCATAAACGGTTCTGGTTGCGTAAATCCTCCAAGGGCCAACAAACTCTCTCACAACACTTCTCTATTTTCACCATCCCCACTTCCAGTCGCACTGGTTAATGCCCATTCCGAGTTTCCATCATACAGGCGACAGAACAGTTGCCGCTCTCCAGAGCCCTCCTGTTGCTTTTTCAAAATGAGCTCATAAAATGAACTCATTTCAGAATGCGTCAAGAGGGATCTGCCTTGGTGAGCAACAAGGTGCTGGAACAGACCCTTCCTGGTAAAATCGTGAACAACAACTGATTTCGCTGGTTCTTCAAGTTGTCTCAATGGAGCTTCCACACAAATCTCGAAAGCTTGTGACTTTCCTGCTCCTGGCTCGCTCAAACATACCGTGAAGAGATTGCAAGGCTCGGCATACCGATTTCGTATTTGAAGTTTAGTGTTCGGTCCCATCAGTGTTGACACAACAGAAATAGCTCCAATTAGGGTAAATTCGGGCCTGGTGTTTACCGAAAAGGAAAGAGCTTTTATCCACTCTTGGAAGATGGGTGGGAATGATTCCATTGGAAAGGGTACCTCTCTTGCTTTTCTAATACTTTGCACACGCTGGGCATCGGAAACTCAGGCTGAATTATGTTTGGGCTTCTTCGAGAACATGATGAATAATTCTGTGCAATTAAAAGAAAATCGACAGAACAGTTAAAGTAAATGTTATATATAAAGATCGAAGATATTTATAAAAATGACGAGAACATAAGCAACTATATTTATGTGTACTCATGTAATAGGTGAACAGTCGGTTGAGAACTTCTTGTAAACTTGATGATGCGAACTGGCAGAGGAACGAGTTTAGTGTTATGGCTGTGAAGACCAAACGTATAATGACCGGAGAAGCAATGAAGCGTGATTTTTACGGACTTTTGCATGTGAATGACAAGATATAATTGACACAATCTTTATCTGGGTAACGTCCGAAATTTGTATGCATACAAGGTGTGGCCGAGGCGATGTTATCTTCGGCATCCTTTATATTAGTAATTAAGGAGAGAAGTTCAATGAAATAATAATGAGACATGTCAGTGAAAATTCTAGAGTCTCATTGCAAATCTATGTATACATTTCGCATTTCCAATGTTTTATTATCTGATTCTTAAGAGGGAAAATGCACACTTTATGGACCTAAATGGCTAGTCACTGTGCAGCCAGTGGAGTTTTTTTTTAATTTCGGGTGTGGGGACGGTGGATGTGGGGCAATTATCTCTGTATGCCATATGCCAACTTATGACTTATCAGTTGTTTTCTGGTCATTTTGGATCGTTAAAGAGCAAGCCACCCAGAGGACGCCTTGAGCAAATTACATGCTGTCATTAAATTCATACTAAATATTTGGCACACACGTTCTTATATTTACACTATCCAAACTTTTATATTATAAAACACATCACATGCATGAATAATGAAAATTCTATAAATATCTGTGTTTTTGATTTTTCGACTACTATAAATATATATCTATATAAATTATGTTGTCACCATGCAAAGTGCAACGTAGTTGAACTATTTGCATGAGTGCATGAGGCAATTTACTGTTAAAAAATTACATACACTGTTACATTTTGTCAATTAAACAAATAGTTGGGTAAAACTTAGCAAATATTTTTATTCTGGTAATATTCACGCAACCACAGTTGAAAAGCATAATGCCAAGAAAGACTGAAAATAGTAAATTTAATAGTAAACTCGAGTTAATTTAAGTCCTTAATTAAATAGTCCATAATCGGCGTCAACCTGACTGGCTGTCTTATAGTAATTTTCGTATATTCATATTTCAATGTATATGACCAAATTTAAGCACTAATAGAATTATGACATTTTGCAACTTGCAACACAATTTAGTGTTGCGAGGATCGACTAAGAACAGTCATTAATCATTATAAACACAGATTATATTAATTTGAATGCACAAAGTAACTGCATGCAGTAACACCTTGTTGATTATCGACTACACATAAAATATTACAATTTATTACTGTTAAACTTAAGACTTGATGTGATATGACTGTGCCTATGGTATTCGCTGGATTTTGTGCAATTGATATGCGCAAACGTAGCCTAGCGACACTTATATGGCCTACATATTAAATTAATTAAACAAACAAATATATGGTATAACAAATAAATAGTGTCTTGTTTTATTAGTTCGAAAATTTCGTTTCGTAGGCACTGTAAAGTTTTTTCATTTGCCTAAGAGGCACTGTAAAGTTTTTTCATTTGCCGCACACGAGAGCAACTTGCTGAGCTAACCGCCTCGCGAGGCGAGGATTATATAGTTTTCGTGAGGCTTTGACCTCTTGAGGCCTTGAGGAAAATCTATCTATCGTGTTTGATATTTTTCGCCTTGCGAGGAAAAAATCGGAGCGTCTGCAGATCTTGTGAGCTAATTGCTGAGCTGTTTGAATCAATTAGCCAATGACAAACCATGATTTCTTGATGTGACTTAAAACAGAATGGAGGAAAATGCAAATGATTTTGTCAATTATGTTGTTGTTGAGTAGTTTTCCCAACGTGCGGTGAAAATACGTAGCTAGCTGAGCTAGCTGCCTCGCGAGGTGGTTAGCTCAGCAAGTTGCTCTCATGTGTGGCGGGCTTGCCCAGAGTTTGGAATTTCCGTAAGTTGTTACTTCATCGATTGAAGATAATTATTTAAATGGGATTAAGTTGTTATCAGTTTGTTTTCAAGCTTTTAAATGTTTTCCAATTAGAACATTTCCTTTCATGATTTCTTTTTGGGTGGTGAAACTTAATGTTTTCGACACCGGCTTGCCTTCAAAAGCAATTGGTTCAAAATGCATGTCTCCAAATAAGTTTAATAATAAACGGTCTTCTATTTTAGCAATTTTCGAAATGTACTCCGCATTTACTGAAATATTAATTTTATATCTCGTCAATATTATAAAACTAACTATAAAACTTATTTGCATGTTAGAACATCAAATCAACCCTCGTATGTCAGTTTATAGTGAAATTGTATTTTTTATTTCATATGACATATTCATCAACTCATTCGCGGGATATAAGTATAGTATATAGCTAATTGCATTAAAGTTGTCCACCGCCGAGTCTCCGACAAAGCTAAAAGCTAAGCGTGAAAAGTACGATGGGAGTGACTTAGTTTAAATTAATTAACTGCATGCGTATAATAAAGACCTATTTTCCCTAATTTAACCGGCACGAAGTTCATGGAGCTTGCCAGATATTGCCAGATATTTGAAGTAGACTTAAGGCTGCATTCCAGTTACGCGTTTTTCATACGTGCGTACACACACATAAAAGTTGAATTCACTTTACATCCTACCTATGAAATAACTAAATTTATAAAAGGACAGCATTCAGTTTTGTGTATGATTTAATGTGTATTTGTTAAGGTTATTTGCACTTATATGAAATTTTAAGCGAATTCAACTTTTACGTGCGTGTACGCACGTATGAAAAATGCGTAACTGGAATGCAGCCTTTAGGCCTGTTTCAAACGTCTCGTGTCTCATGTGCCGAAACATGTAGGCCTAAATTTATGTAAGTCATACCTCCAAGTCTGTTCACAAATAACTTGCAGATATAGTTGTGAAATTAATACAGGGAGTGTGAAATAAATTTGTCCCTTTCAAATTCAAAAGAGATACAACTGTTTGTAGTAATTTTGACAGCTATAGCCTATATTCTATAATCACTTTGAATTTGATTGTGCACAAAAACATAACAGAAGGTCTTACATATACGAAAACAAGTTATCCTAAATTCCGATGTGTAGACCTTGTCTTTTTATGCAGCATTAATTTGTGGCAATTGGGGCTGTCAGATTATTACAATACTGAACAGGTTGTGGCTCATCCTCGGTCCCAGGGCCTCGGTCAAATGACATTAATATATTCATTTAGCATTCTCAATAGACCTATTACTCAAACTTGCTTTATGGTCACACTTTTTTCCACATGATGAATATGTGAGATGAATATTTAATTCATAAGAACCATCGTACTTTTCGCTTTAATTCATAAGAACCATCGTACTTGGCTTTTACCTTTTAGCTTTGTCGGCAGACAATCTTATTGCAAGTAGCTGTATGTTATGTTGTCATACATATAACGCTTATATATGTGCAAACATGAAATGTCGCGTTGGATATGTTTTTAAAGATTAACATATAATAAATGTATAAACTTGTTCTTTGTTTATGAGATTTTGCTCTTGGTTGAACTACGTTTTGATATGCATGCAAGGAATTTCCGCAAGTTGTTACTTCGACGATTGAAGATAATTGTTTAAATGGGATTAGGTTATCAGTTTGTCTTCAAGGTGTTAAATGTTTTCTAATTAGAACATTTCCTTTTGGGTGGTAAAAATTTTGCCTTTGGCTCCAGCTTGCTTTCAAGGCAATTACAACATGTCGATTAGCTTCTACTGAAAATACAGACAGGACCTGATTAATTGCTGCCTTAATTATGCATGCGTACAGGAAAAATGGATGTCAAATGGATTCAACCCCCTAAACTAAATGATTTTACTATTTTTGTAAAACACGATAACATACAGGATATCTGAACACTATAACTATACAGCTGTTTCAATTAAGGTTGTCCCCGAGCAAAGCGGAAAAGTAGAATATGAGCGCGAAAGAATGCTGGGAATAATATGCTAATAAATTCATTAATTTTTTAGCGATTCCCAGCAGCCTTTCGCGTTGTGGACAACATTATTGAAATAGCTGTATAATGACTATAAGCCGACCGAGTATGTTAAAATGGCCTCTGTCCGGTTGTCGGTCTTGCGTGACCAGCTATTTGCTAATAGACACTTCGTTGTCCTAAATGTTGAATGACATAATTATGCATCCTGAACTGATCCTCCTTGCAAAGTTCTCTCAAATCTTTCGCATTAAACCCTTTCAAATGACAAGAGTGATTTCTTGATGAAATGTTGTATAAAAATGATAAAGAAGTAATAGATGTGATTTGAGTCAAGCCACTACACTGACCTAAATAACTACATTCCATTAGCTTAGTTTGTTAAATTAAGTAGTCAAACACAAACACACACACATGCATGGGTGGTCCAGGTGTGGTTACAATGGACGGAAAAGTGATAAGAAACTGTAACGAAATCCTGACATTAAAACGTGTATGGAACTACATATCCTATGCGTAAGAGACCTGCAGAGTAGGGGATTTTTAGTCTAGATCGCGAAAAAGAAATATCGGTTTTCCTTGTAATGAACAATGTGAAGTATTTTTTTCTTTTTGTTGGAATTTCAATTGTTGTCAGTTTTAACATCAACGAACAAACGCGGAAGCATTTACATGACGCTTGTAAAGCAGCAAATGAAGATATTCATAAAAATGAAATGCTTAAGGAACCACAAATCACAGACCCACAAACTCATATACCTTCGTCATCAGTTGTTTCAGCAAATGCGTATTTTGTTCTGCCTTATCTGTTGTTCGATCCCATCAACCAATTCCCATTCCTTTTCACTAATGCAAAGACAAACCTGCTATGTCCATTGTGTAATAGAGCCGGTCTTCACCAGAATGTGATAGATTCAGATCAGTGGGAAAATGGAAAAACTGCGCGCCTTCAACCACGTTTAATTCATGACATAGCAAGTCCCTTCTTCCTGGTGAGCAAATTGTATAGCTGTGGAAATGGACCTAGAGAAATTGCAGCGTGCGATCCTGATTTGGTAAAACAGCTTCCAGATGCTTTTGTTAACTTTGTAACAAGTCATAAGTCTCCTGACAAAAAGCCTGATTCAATTATGTGAACAGCTTATGGATAAGGGTCTTAGTTTGAGAAGCATCGAACATCTTAACAAACAGAGATATAAAACGTTTTACAACGAAAAAGTAAAACGATTAGTAGAGAATCGAAAAATTTCTCATGTGCTTGGTTGTTCAAATGTGGGAGAGACGGTGCCATATCTTGAAAACCTTAAGTGGTCTTTAGCTGGAACAAAACTTATATCTAGTGCAATAATTTCAAAGACACATATCGTAAACTATTCTCATAGCTCTCTGCAGAATGGATTAGCTGTGACCACACTTACAAATCAGTATCAAATATTGGGTACCATAGACAATCGGATGGAAAATGGATTACACTCTATAAAGGTTTTTTTATCATAGGAAACAAGAAAGGTCAACCCATTCAATGGAAATTTACGAAAACAGAAGCATACGAAGAAGTTAACGATGTGTTTCTCCAGCTTACTGAGCGTTTAACGCATCAGAACAAGCAGCTGAAAGGAATTTATATGGATATGTGTTGCAAATGGTCCACGAAGTTCGAAAAGGTATTTCCTGGTGTGCCAATAAAACTAGACCTATTCCACGCAGTCCAACGCTTTACCAAGAGCATACCAAAAAGGAAACAATACCACGCTCAACTTGCTCATGATTACTCTCTTGTTTTTCGTGGAGAAAATAGAACGGCAGACACTCCAGAAAAAAAGTTTTGATTCAAAATTTGAAAAAGTTCGGAAAAAAAAGTGGGAAAACGTGGCTTTCGACGATGGGACCATGGTATTGAACGACAAATCTTTAAAAGAAATAAAGAACATTAAAATCCACATTGAAAAAGGATGTTTATCTGGAATTCCCCCAGGATGCGGAACGAACAGGAACAGGCGTTTAAACAGACACTTAAACGAGTTTCTATCCACAAATAAAATTAGTCATTTATTGGCATACACAAGATGTTTTCGGCTATTTTCCAGCCTTGAAACCATGAGAGATGAAGCTTCAAGGATGTTTGATCCACGCCGTCATAACCAACACAAGAATTGCCAGGAAGCCGCCGGTAAACTGGAGTCGTTCAGCATTAACGTTTGTGATCATGAATTGGCAGGGAATCAGGAACAAAAAATAGTGAATCTCAACGCCATAACCGATGACATGGTCAAGAATATTGCAAGCAATATCCAGGCATTACTGTTAGAAATTCAAGGCAATGAAAATTCAGCAGGAAATGACCACATATACTCTACAAATGATAAACTTAAAGACAAAACTGAAAATTTATGTGTTTTGTATAATGCTGTTTCTTTATGGAGGACGTACTTGCAATTAAAGGATACGTTTGGAAAGAAAGTTATCGACTACAAACAGATGGGAATAAATACCAAAAATGCATGCTTGGACTCGTCATGTACATATAACAATGAGGAGGGGCAAGCAGGCGGGTTAGATAATGAATTGCAAAGATTGGCAAACACTTGGGGATTTGACATCGTCAACATCGCGGGTGACGGTAATTGTTTCTTTACGGCAGCAGCCTTTCAGTTGAATCAAATAATGACAACCATTAATGCGGAAAATGTGCCTGGACCTGCTCTACGCCATCTAATAAGTATTGGTATTACCCCTGAACAAACAGTTCCCGATATAGCTAACACGCTACGTAGACTGGTATTCGATGAATGGACAGGACAACACATGAATGAATACCAACATTTTTTTATTGATACTGATATTGAAACAGAAGCCCCAAACTTTCTCAGAAATGGTCATTTTTCAAGTAGTTTGGGGGATGCAATGCCCCTTGGAATGGCTAATGTGCTTCAAATGTCCATTTTCATTTTAGCACCACAACATCTAATTCCCTTTATGTCAATATTTCCGTGTTATAATGTGGAAAGCATATCTCCACTTATGTTAGCATTTGACAATAGTGGACCAGGACACTATGATGCACTTATCGAACGTGTGGTGAACCACAACCAGGTTGATGACAGCGTCATCGACACTCGAGTGGACTGTGACCAAAATACATATATGTCAACAGAACACGTCAAAAGCAGTCAGAAGGTGCAAGACAGCTATTGCCGATGTGGAATAAATACAAAGCAACGATCTGTGCACAATGTTGTTCCGCAAAGAGCATACAAAAGTCGGTGTAAATGCATTAATAAACATTCGAAGTGCTCATTAAAATGTAAATGCCTTGGCAACTGCGGAAATACAGACTGCAAGAAGAATGCTAAAACATCGGAGGATAAAAAAGAAACAACCAGCAACCAGCAGGAGTTCAAGAAAAAGGGGCAAGCATCGAATAGATACTACACCGAACAAGTACCTCAAGTTATCGCCATTAAAGAACGATGGACTGAACATGTTAGAATATTTTATTATTGTTGCAATTGTTAGCTTTTTCGTTTTAGAGGGCCTAGAAACTTTACCAGACAACTACAAACAAATTACGGCAATGTTTAACAATATATGTTTCTGCCAGTCGCAATACATTCTGAAAAGGTCATCGCATGAACGGTTAGAAAGATTCAGTGAAAAAGAAGGATGTGTAATACTAACAGGAACAAATACAGCGTATATACATAGAATATTAAATATAGCATTTTAAAATTCTGAATGCTGATTGGCTAAGAGCCGTGTTGATATAACTCAATGTCAAAACGGAAAATTTCTTTCTTTATATTTCTTCGTGCTATATTATAAAAATATAATTTTTTTTTTTCCGTATTGACATACAGTTACATGAACACATGTGGAAGTTGGAAAAACTCGAAAGTAATATATGAACAGCGAGAGCAAGTGTTTCACCGGGATATCCAAACACGAGAAAACAATGTATGAAAACACGAGTGTGAAGCGCGAGTGTTTTCATACATTGTTTTCGAGTGTTTGGATATTCCGGTGAGACACGAGCTCGAGTTATTTATATGGCTTCTCAAATGAATCGAGACGTAACAGAATGTTTTCGTAGGCATAACGTAATTAGGAATTCTATTCAAGTAATTTTGCATGCATTGATTATGCAATAGACTCTTTTCATAAATGGCTGCCGATTAAAAATTCTTTTTTGTGCATATAAATTGGCCCAACTAGCCTCGTTTCTGGGTAGAAATTCCTTTGAAATCTTAACATGAGTACGAGGCTAGTTGGGCCAATTTATATGCACATAAAAGAATTTCTAATCGGCGGCCATTTATGAAAAGGGTCTATACACTGGTGACTTTCATCAAGTATCCAAATGGCATCTTGTGATCAAATAGGTGATTATCATTGGCTGAATTGCTCAGAAATTATTAATGAATTTGAGAATTGTATTTGTAAATTATGAACGCTGATTGCCTAAGAGCCGTGTTGACAGGGGCGTAGGAACCGGGGGGCCAGGAGGTGGCTAGGCCCCCAAGTTTTGCCAAGTGCCCTTTTTCCGGGAGCAAAGTGCCCTTTTCTTGCGTGAAAAATGTCATTAAGATTGCATTTTTTTGCCCAAAGGGCACTTTTGAAAACTTGAATCTATGTTATTTCCGGAAATTTTTTTCATTTCCGGGAAAAATATCATATATCCGGAAAATTTTTTGGTGTATCAGGAAATGTGTTTCATATTTAGGCGCGCTTCGAAAAGTGACCCTCAAAGCCTGCCCCCCTCCCCCCAACTTTTAGAAGCTTCCCACGCCCCTGCGTGTTGATATAACCAAATGTCAACACGGAACATGTCAACTTCATTTTTTAAATATAAAAAAATATATATAAAACATTTTTCCGTATTCATATAGCGGGTTAAAAAACTGAACAGATTTGAAATTGCTCTCAATTTCACAAAACGCCTATTGGTATCCAGTTTTTATGTACCATTTAAAGCACACGTAGGAGTGTTTTATCACATATAAAACACGACACGTAGTGGAGTGTTTTATATGTGATAAAACACGACTACAAGTGCTTTAAATGGCTTCAAAAACGACTCATATTATACAAGTTCATTGGCAAAGTAATTTTTAAAATAAACTTTGTCTAAACTGAGAAAATCAAAGCTAAAGTTTATGTAAATTAACATGATTTTTTATCACATATAAAACCATGACACGCTTATGATTTTTCTTTGTGTTTTCCTCCTGAATTATTAATGAGTTTTTGAAATATATATATATTAAGGTGAAAATGTTCTCGAGTGTGTATTATATAATTTCCATACCCAGTGTAAGCAGAAAGATAAGTCTGCCGCGGCTGGGTCTTGAACCCGCGACCTTCGAATTACTAGATCGACGCTCTACCAACTGAGCTACACGGTCAGACAGATTTAAGACTAGAAATTATGAAATATATACTGAATGTCATAAACATACTCGTTTATATTAATTCAGCATCGAACAATACTAGTTCTGCAAGTGTTATGTTGAGTTGTGTAATTGTACACTCCGTAATATGTTAAGGTGAAAATGTTCTCGAGTGTGTATTATATAATCCCCGAGCCGGCGGCGCGAAGCGCCGTGCGAGGGTACTAATTCCCCCCGGCTATTTACACCCGGGGAAACGAAAGCATTAGGGAAGTCTGAAGTTCATCAAATATCGCGGGCGTGGGTCACTGTGCGTGTTTCGGTGGGTGGTCATCCTCACTGATCTCAAAAATATGGCGGACTGTCATGAATAGCGAACACTGATTGGTCAAATTTAAAATTTGTTGTTGTACAACAAATGACGACTTCAACTGACAGATACTTCATGAAAATATTTTGCTTTTTGCACTGCAATATTTTGTACGTTTGCAAAAAACTTTGACAGCTTTCAAAGCAATTTGTTCTATAAAAAGTTTAATAAAACAATTACGGTATCAAATACCAATTGAAAAGATATCGACTACTGTATGGAGCCAAATGAAGAGCGGCAAGGAAACGACAAGAAAGCCGAACGTCTAGCGAAAAGGAGGGAGCTAGCGAAGACGACAACGTTTGCTCGAGGAGACTGCTGAGGAAAGAGAAGCTCGCCTGGGAAAGCGTAGAGAAGCATGGAAAAAAAGACTGCTGAAGCGAAAGGTAAGCAAAGGCTTGTCTTCACAACGCTATGTACCAATGATACTGTAGCTATATATACAAGTTGAAGTATGATATTCGACCCTCTATATTCGACTATTTCTTCACAATTTTCCAATAAAGAGTTTGTCATGACACGCTCAAGTCAGTATAACCAGACTGTATTTTATTTATATCAGTTATCACAGCCACAGGCAATTTTATGCTGTCAAATACCGTCGGTTGCAACTAAGGGTGAACAGTTGCAGATAAAACATTCTCTATTCTCATTAAAAGGCCTGTAAAAGTTTCCAGTAAGTCTCTAGCCCAACACGTTCAGACCACACAAAGTTTTGTTACTTATTATTGTCCACTGTACACATGGGAAACAACAATTAAGTGTTGTTGTTCTTGACAAACATTGAAGATTCTAATCACGCTAATGTTTTTATGAGCGACTGTTCATCGTTAGTTGCAAACGACGGTACAACATACTATGAACATTTTTCCGACTGTGACCGAATGTGCAACGATATATTTTTCAAAGTTGTTATCAATTCCTAAAATTTGTTTATAGTAAAACGGCCTGCTCAGCACTCACTACTCACGATGATTTCATTTGGAAATGCAGTTACCAGGAAAGGAACTGATTCTAAAATATGTAAATTTAAAAGCATTGGCTAACACAATAAAGCGATGTGAAGACAAGGTACAAACTTTTATAGTTGCTATTTGTTATAAAATCCTATAAATAAACCGATTCAACAATAATATTGCCTCGAATTTGCATATTCTATGCCGCATGTTTATATTTTATTTTTATAGTATAAAAATAAAATTGTAATACTATGAAATAAAATACATTTCTGTTTATTGACTAGTACTTATTTAATGTCTTCTTCATCCAGTGGTCAGAG